CTGGGGAGGGGCGCGGAGGGCGGGCCGTGCCGCGCCGGGCCCTGCTCCCGCTCTCGAGCGAAACTCCGCGGTTTCGGTGCGAGGAGCCGCCCAAGGAGCGCCGGCCGTGGGCACTTGTCCTCCCGGAGTTGGGGAAGTTGGAGCCGCTCGTGGAGGCAGCTGCACTGGCCGTCAGAGCGGGACGCGGAGCCGGGCGGGGCTCGGCGCTCAGCCTCGGGCCGGCCTCGAAGGCTCCCGGCCACCCCCTGGTGCTGCGGGGTCGGTGGCAGCGCCTGAGGTTAGGCCTGAGGAGCAGCGTCTTGCGAGGGAAAGCTTGTCTCGCTGGATCCCGGCTACGCTGCTGACCCGGTAAAAGAGCTCGCCTTAAACAAATCCTCATGCCCTGCATGAGTCCTGGACCAACACAGCTATATCACTCCCACACCATCCTGTTCAGGCCTGAGACTGTGGCCCCCAGCTCTTCCCGTTTATTTCACTTTTGGGAACTAGCCATGGTCGGTGGAAAAAGCAGGTGCTGGCGTGGGTGTGCTCGCAGACGTGCACCAAAAGAATAGGAGAGGAATTTAAAACTAGCTGTTTTGGTGCAAGTTTGTGAATGGTTTGGCTCTGAACTGCAGATTCTGGGTGGGGCTTGCCTCCAGAGGGGACTTAACACTTGGGACATCTTCCCTATCAGATGACTGGGGAATGCAGAGATGGGTTTGCCGCGCGCAAACAGGAAGTCGACATATTTCAGTACAGATTAACATTGCCAGCATTTGGTGTTCATAACTCTGTGAATAAGGTATTGAAAATAGGTTTCCCAAATGCGGACACTGAATTTTTTTATAATTCAGTGTAAAAAAATAAGTTTTTATAAACTGCAGTAACATTTTTTTGGGTGGAAATTAGTTTTTTCTGCTTTCTTTTGTCACCAAAAAGTGGCTCTGTAATGAGGGAGAATAAATGGTTATTGTTTATATGCATTTCCACATCAAATCTGAAACACTTCTAGTAACTTGATTCCTGTGTTACATGATCAGCTCTGACTGATGCTTGTGTGGTGACCTATGCCCTGCACAGTTTCTCCAGTACATAGTTGGAGACATAAGGGAAAGACAAATATAGGCTTAAGCATTTCAGATATGTTAGGATTTTAGAGGATTTCCGTATTCCAGTGTCTGCATTATTTGCTGCCCTATCCAAAAGTGAGATTGCTCTTGTGATAAGGAAGGGGTTCAGTTATCTCATTTTTGGGCTACAGTATCGTAAAAATAACTATTAAACTAATACTTTTTTAAAACAAATTTGTGTAATCTATCAGAAAAGCTATATTTAACATTTTGTGACCTGTAGAGGGTTTGTGTTTTCTAACTCTTTATTTCTCTTGGCATGGTGAATCTTACTTAGTTCTCTAACAAAACTTTTTAGTGTTTTGACTTAAAACATAATTTACCAGCTAGTGCATGTGGAGGGAGGAGTCTTTTATCATCCATCACAGTATAAATGTATGAAAATACTTTTCCAAACTTGCCCAGCTTATCTGGTGCTTATCAAAAGAATGTATTTCTTATTATTCACTCTTCAAGGGCTGAAATTGCTGTACCTAGTGGTGGTATGCAGTATTATAAATTCTTTACTGTTTTCTCCAGTATAGTTCAATCTTATGACAAACATGACTGTAAATTGAAAGGGCCTTCCTCTGGTGATTTTCTGAGTTCAGTTGATAGTTTTAGTATAACCTGGAAGATTGGCTACATCAGGATTTTAGTAGTGAGCTATAAAAGTTTTAGGTTGGAAGTTCAAATCCAATGCATGTTGGTAACGTAATAAAAATCATTACTGTCTTATGGCTGCTGCCTGGCCTGTGAATAGTCGGTTCTGATTGGGTAAACATCCGTGTTACAACAACAACTAATGCTACCAGTTACCATAAAAATTCAAAGAGTGGAACTTTTGATGCACCTCCAGAGGAAAAAAAATTAAAGACTTTTTCAAATATGCAGTCTTTTCCCAGTGCTAAATTCATGCATGCCCTGTACTTTCTCTTTTTTTCACCATGGAGCTTTGCAAAAAAATAAAAAATAAAAATGAGATTTATCATAGTATGTTGAAGACAGAATAGATCTTCTCTGCTTAACAACACACTTGAGCGTTCTGTAAATATTTGGTTTCAAGCTGCTTTATCACCTATCCTTTTAGTCACAAGATTATATTTAATATCTCTCCCCCTCCACATGAAAATATTTTGTTGCTTAAAACCAGAATGACCCCTATATTTAAGAAATATAGTACGCTCACTCCATTCCAAGGAATTGAGTTGCAGGCTTCCTTGTTACTGTGCCAGAGGGGTTGGCCTCAAAGTTGCCACAAATGTAGGTTCACATTCCATACCCAACTCTTATTTTGAGCTGCCCGTATGTTTGTTTTATTTTGGAAATTTCTGCACAAGGCTTTAAAAGAATATGATCCTCTCCAATCTCACTTGTCTGATCTGTTTGTTTGTTTGTTTAAATTACTGCATATAACACTTAGGATTGGAGGTGAAGAGCAGGAGTTTTTCTGTTTAATTTCAGTTACATATTTGCTGTTCACATAATAGCAGTGGGAGAGAGGAACATTTAGAAAATGGGAAAACCACAGCGACTTCTGACTGTAAGACTAGACTGGACTGGAGTTTAATTTGATGCTGTTCCCTTATCTTGTAGCAAAATACTTTTTTCAACCTTTTGTAAGTTACCTTTAAAGTTCTTTTCTTTGTCATCTATCTCAGCTGTAGTGTTCATATGAAAGTTTAGCTGCATTTTCAAGTAACGGTTTTGCTCTGAAGACAAAATAAAGCTGCTGGTTGTGGTTGGAAGTCATCCGCGTTCTGTACATTGTCACGCTGCATGGGGCTGTTTGTTTCCTGTTCAATATGCAGGAAAAAGATTACTGTAATACAAACAAGTCTGAAAACTATGGCTGTGCCTGTAAGTTGGTTTTACTTTATAGAACAGAAAATAAACTCAGTAGAATATCACAAGTGGATGGTTAAAATATTCTTGTGTCAGGAAAAAGGCTACAGAAAACAGTTTGTGATGCATATTCAGATTAACTGTACTTGGAGCAGAAGTCAGGGAAGGGTGACACTGTATAGACAGGGGTCAGCAGTCTATGCCTCTGTGTGGGGAGTCATTTGAGTTGGCCTGCGGACATGAGGTTTTGGTGGCAGTCACGTTGGCCAGGGAGCTTTGAAGGTAGTTGCTTTCCCATGCCACCATGGAGAAAAGCTCTGGCTGCAGGTACTTTCCCCATGCTGCTGTGGGGGAAAAGCGGCATCTTCGGCAGCTGGTGGATCCTAGTGCTCTGCCCTCTGCCCCCTTTTGATTTGAATTGGGTCACTCTAGCCTAGAACCTAAAAAGGGTGCCAAATGCTGGATTAAGTAGTTCAGGGAGGCTTGCATTTTTATAGGCTACAGCCTACTTGTTAGATACTATAAAATTATGAAAGGAGTCAGAACACCATGGATGCAGTTTGAATATTGTGATTATGGTCAACAGGTTTTTTTGCCTATTAAAATCCAAATAGTTTTATTTTGGAAATTTATTGATTTGGTTCATGAAGTATTGAATTCTTCTAAAGTTGTGTCCATTTCTGACATTGACAATGTACTTTTGTATCCAAAGTTTTACTTTGTGGCAGTGACTTCAGCTATGCACACACAAACTACTGAGATTTCATTCATCACTTAGAACAATCCTGATGTAATGCTTTTAGTTTGGGAAAATGTTAAATGTATTGTGGGTTTATTTTTTTTATTTAATCTTTAAAAAAATAGCATAACCATTGCAATCTTACAGCAGCCCTGCAAAAGTAAAAACGTATTACAGCCAGATATGTCAGCTGCTTACAATTCTTGTAAAAACTGGTCCTGAAAATAAATATGTAAATCAGTATAAAAGCCACTTCTATATCTCATTCTCACACCTTCAAAAATGCCCAAGAAGAAAGGTGTCCAGAAGGGTAACAAACCTGGACACCTTATAAACATAACAGAGAAGAATGTAAAATTGTGAGCAACATTACACCTTATTAGTAGACTCAGTAGACCTACCTTTGCTTTGCTGGCTTCATGTCAAATTTAAAGCATCTGTCTAGGTCTATTTATGGGTAATATTTGAAGCAAATGCTTGCAGATAAATTTAGAAAATGTTTGAGATTATATAAGTTGTACTGCAAACTGCCCTAAGTTAAATAAGGCTTTAGTCATTCATGTCCCCTTCAGTTTTTCCTTTGGTCATGATAGTTATGGATTCATTTTTTGTGGCTACTATACTTCCTGTGAGCTCTCAATGTTTTCCCAGGCATAACAACATTACTAATGACTTCTTCAGTGAATATGCTACTTAATGGTGAAACAGCCATAGGGAAGTTTTATATAAAAATCTCATGACTCCATCTAGCATATTTGTATGTTTAAACAGTTGAAATTCAGCCATTATTTTTCCCTGTGATTGCTTATACAATAAATGACAAAATGGTGTTGTGTAAGTCAGTAGCTTGCAAATGCTGCTGACCACACTTGTAAATACTGAGAGTATTCTTATAAGTAGCCTGGTTTTCAAGTCCAGCTGACCTATGTTCAATTATAGCTCCTAAGAAGTTGGAGGGGAGGGGGTCAGTGTGTTCTAGTATGGCCATCTCTGATTCTTGGAGGGTAGAAGTGCTGGGGCAGTTACCAGTGTCTGGGTTATGTAGGGTCACCAATGTCGGTTTTGTGTCACCCAGGGATTTTTCCTTTGCAGGAGAATCCTCAACTGACTGTTTAAGCTCACATTATGATGACTCCTTTGAGTGGTTTCCACTATGTCAAAGCAAGGTTGAAGCATTGTCCCAGTGTCTGTAGGACCAGCTGCGATCAGTAAACTTGAATTTCTAAGTCACTGAAATGTACTGTATCCATTTTAACAGCGCTTTCCGACCTCCATGCATTTAGGGTCTGTTTAATCATTCCAAAAATGTGGAATAGTGTTTTTTGAGTGTTGGAAATTAAAATGTTACTTTAAAAATGTCATAGTATTTGTTTTCACAAGGCTGTTTAATCTGTAACAGGATTCTGTGTTTAGTAATCCACTATAAATATTCTGCCCCTTTGTTGGGGGAAGAAGGGAAATATCAATTTCTTCAATAAAGCAGTAAGTAATATTATATTAGAGACCTTCCTGTCCTCCTAAAACAAGATGACAGGTTTTTCCCTGTACATTTTTTTTTTTTTTCATTAGGGGAAGAAACTGATGACAGTGTCGAGTAATTCTTTGGGACTTTTTGTTTACTCACAAAAAAAAGTTAAACTTCCGTGTACACAGTATGAATCAACCAGCAAAAT